TAGACCACCCGTCTGCGTATAGTTGATCCGGGGAGACGCCTATGCGGAATTAGGCTTTGGGATACAGGGGCTATCGTAATGACCCACCAACTTCAGCGGCCAGTTTGACGATCTGGGGATTCCTTCTGACGGCCTCGTCAGCCTGGCCGAGTTCTTCAGGAGTAATCTGGGGATGAACACCCTTCGCTAGCTTTATGTATTTCTCTATCTTCCAGCCGTCTTTCTCGAGGGCGAGAATGACATTATGGGACGAGCTTGAATGAGGAGTGGTAGTGGTTAGCACAATGCAGCATTATACGACGCTATTTAAGCGGACTGTAGAAGCGGACTTACTCGTCTATTGGGTTGATGAACTAACAAGGTGGTCAGACGTGCCCCCAATCTACTTCGACGCCCATACTTACATCCACTTCAGCTCGGCGAACTAGGTCCTTGACGGGACTTGAGGATTTCCGGGGGATGATAGATAGAAAAGCAAGGACATGTGATTTCTTAGGAGGCACTAGACTCGCTTGGATGAATTTGAACGCCTTTATTTGTTCCTTGACGAGTGTTAGGCGGATAGCCCGCGAAATGCTCGAAATCTAATAAACCAAGCATCAACATGAGCAACTGTATCACGGTTGATCCGAACCTCTTGCGGTGTCAATGGGTCTAGGGGGTGAAGCATGGTTGAAAGTCGTTCTGGGGGGCAACAGGTAGGTTAGAAAGCCGCAAGAGCAGCCTCAGACACGGAGAATGGCGCTCGTTCCACATCCTTTTTGCTTATCGAATTTGACAGTCACGCTGCAGCTGCAACGTTCATTGGTGTACAATGCCCGTGCAGATCATTTGTAACTTTAGCTTGGCCTCCGTCCCTGTGGCTGCAAGCAGCCCTGTGATTCAGACGGGCATTCATAGAATTTGGGGAGAATTTGTGAACCGCGAATGCATGATGTAATGGAAGCAGCCCCATTATCGTAAGATCCGCTCCGTGCTAAGTACTCCTCTTGGTTGGTTGCTGGCTGTTTTATCGCCGCCATTTCATCTCACAGATGAATACCGAAAAGGAATAGCACTTTAATCTTGACTTCAACTGAAGCTCAGAGGGCCTT